AAATGACAATAGTGTTTTTTTTTTTTTTTTTGCCTAAAATAAAGATCACTATTTTCTCCTGATTCTGTAGATATAAAATAAAGGTTAATATGAGTGGGCTATTATTGTTGTTATTCTAAAACGTGGTAAAACAGCAATAGGCTTTGTGCAGCTGTTGGTAAAATGCTAAATTTTGTATAGACTTAGAATGGTGGACTTGAACAGACTTTAGATTTGTCCTGGTCATTAATGCTGATGATAATTCTGATGTTGAATTATTGTGTTTGAGACATGTGCTTACAATCTGTAATTTTCTGCTTAAAATCTGTCACTGACGTGATTTTCATGAATACAGAAGACTGGGTGGGTATTTTTGCATTTTGTCGGGTATTCGATCAGCTACATCTGGTAACACTGTGTGCGCTTTCGGTTTCATTTTCACTGCTAAAAGCGGTTCACTTCCTGCATGGCTCCCAAACGATCACTCTGTGCCACAAACTGAATGGTATTTACAACTTTATTAGCTGTTATTCACAGCATATGCAGGTTCTGTTCACTAAAGTAAACTTCATTCAGAGGCGCGTGCGCCCGCCCTCCCTGTGGTAACAGCTGACGATAAGCTCACATCATGTGTGATTTTGTGGTCGCAAATACATTACATGAAGAAAGAAATGACATTTTTGAGGTGAATTATATCTTATAAATACAGCATGTGACTCTTTCAACACCATTTGTAGGTGTCTACGTTGCTGAACAACATATGTAAAATAATGTGAAGACTTGTGCGGCCACCATTGCTTCATGTGATTGATTTTGTCAAAATATGATTGACAGAATCGTAGAAATGCTGGATTAAGATCGTTTAGGGGGTCGAAATAAGATCGCAATCTTTTTACGATTAATTGTGCAGCGAAAAAGTTAAGAATCCTTCAACTTCATGCAATTCTTGAGCGACAGCCAATAGGAGCACCAGTAGAGCTAACTTAATCCTCTCTGCCTACTCAGAAGCCGTTGTATTCTCCATGCTGTAGAGTTACAAAGACCTGCGTTTGTAGTAGATCGCCACCCAGAGCGACAGGCAGCTACAAAGTTGCTGCTAATGTGAATAAAGCATAAACTACAAAACAGAATTTAACTCAGTATGTGTTAAAAAAAAACTGTGCTCATTACACCCCTAGTTACCAACATGTGTCAAAAAATTTAGTTTTCAAGGAAAATAGAAAAAAAATGCATAAGAAGGTGAAATTCAAGACATTTTAATTTTCTGGATTAAAATAAAATACTGCTTTATGTTTCCCAGGTTTCCTGCCTACATTTTCTAAAATGTGATTACATGAAAATATTTGGGTAGAGATACATGCCAACATCAAGGTAATAATTTTTCATGCCAACATGCCTGGAATGTGCAAACACAAAATATGATAAAAAACACAGCAGCATCTAAGTCTAGCAAGGTTTTTTTTCACCTATCCAAGCCAAACGCTTATTGGTGGATCAGACGGGTGGAGGGGGCATTTTGATGGGCAGTTTGCCTGAGCTCGGTGCACAGCTGCAGGGCCTGCGGGCAGACAGATAGAGCTCTGCTACAGCAGGTGCTGACATTAATGAGAGTGATAAACCATGAGAGAGAATTTATAAATCAGTAAAAAGCTATGGTGGACCAAACCCTCTGCTGGCATCTGCCCATTCAGCTGACCTGTAGTTAAATAAACCTCTTACGAGAGGAAGGGTGTTTGTTGAAAACACAATGTGGAGCCAGATTCGACGTTTGACTCTGATTGTCAGGTAGAGCTGAGGTTTCGGTGAATTCCTGTTTTTGAGGCTGCCAGAAAGCTATCAGATATTCCTGGGAGAATAAAAACAATATTTTCTTTTGTATCATCGAGCGTTTGATTAGCTCTCTTCTGAGATCGGAAAGCGAACCGTACTTTGATCAACATGAATGAAGATTCAAAACGGGAAAAGCAAAACTTGGCCTCGATGTCTGTACTGAGATCCAAAAAATGTCTGTCAGCATTGCTTGTGGTGTGAATGTCACACCCTGCTGTCAGAACTGAAGATGAAAATCTGAATGAATGCTGCATGATTTATTGACAAAAACTGAGATGGAAAGAGAATAAAAACAAGGAAGTAGGGCACAAATATGTGACCACCAATGCAAAAGTGTTTTTTTTTTTTTAAGTACAAATAGCTAGACATTGCACTTGGTAACAGCATGATAAAATCCATTAAGCCATTAGTAAACAGACCCTCTTTTGATGGAAACACTACAGTGCCCTTGGTGAGAAAATAAAGAGGTATAATTCTGGTTGATGGATGTAGACGATATGATTACTGTCGATTATATCTGTAGACATTGTAATGGTAATTATTTATTTAGATTTGTTGTCAAATAATAATTATTGTGTTCGGCATCACAAAAATGTGTTATGGAAACCACTGATTCTGCCAAAACACTATAGTTAGGGCCTCAGGATTTCCGCAATGCGGAAAACAAGGACAGAATTGCTGTTCATAAAAGTGCAAACTACAACATTATATAGAATGGAATGGAACTTAGAAATGCTAAATTGATCAATCAAAAGCAATCTTAAAGACACAATGTCAAAGGGCTATTACAACAAAAAGCTATTCAAATAGAAAGTCTGCATGTATAGTATAGTATAGTATAGTATAGTATAGTATAGTATAGTATAGTATAGTATAGTATAGTATAGTATAGTATAGTATAGTATAGTAGAGTATAGTATAGTATCTGTATAGCCCAGAGTGTTAAAATGAAAAAAAAAAAATAATAATAACTTTCCTGTACACACAGAAAAGTTTGATTTATTTTGATGTAAATATTAAGTTTATTATTACCATATAAGATAATTTCCTTCCTTCACATTTAATTTAAATACAGTGGTCCCTTGTTATTCTTGGGAGTTACGTTCTAAAAATAACCTGCAATAGATGAAATCCGCAAAGTCGTCAGAATTAATTTTTACAATTATTAAATGTTATTAAAATTTATATATGTTATTAAATATTTATTACAATTACAAGTGTTTTAAGGCTGTAAAACCCCTCACTACACACTTTATAAACTTTACTCAGACAGGCATTAACATTTTCACAGTTTTCTCTCTAGTTTAAACACTCTCAAAGTTTAAACCTTTGTTGAAAAAAGTCCAGTATTATAGTATGAGACCAAAGATCAAAAACATTTATTTATTCCATAATGGCGCCCTTTAGCCGCGTACTTCTACCTTCCTTTAGCATGTCCAGAACAGTCCAACTTTTTGTGCGATGGTTAGCATCTTCTTCTGCCCTTTGGGTGCTACCGCAGGTGCTTTTGATGGTGCAGAATGTTTCGTCGACATTGTGGAGAGAAAACTAGCAAACATACAGTACAGCACTTCAGAGTCACACTGCTAGCGATCGAAGATTTATGTTTGGCAAGCTGAACGCATATAGAACTGTACAGGAGACACGGCACAGAGGAGATTGATTGACAATGGTCTACAGCCAGTCAGGATGCACAACAGAATGCGCTAATCAGAAAGCAGAAAATAATGCGCTGTAGAAAAAAAAGCATTTCAAATTGCACAAAAAAAATAAAATAAAAATAAATAAATAAATAAATAAATAAATAAATAAATAAATAAATAAATAAATATCAGAGAAACTGCAAGGCCGCCGAACAGTGAACCATGTCATAGCGAGGGACCACTGTACTTAATACTAGGTAAGTATACTTTAGCTACTTGTCATTTTCATGTTAGCAAAACAGGTTAAAACTTGCTTAAGTTTTACAAATCCTAAATGTAACAAAAAATGACACTGCAGCCCTTGTAATAGTAATAGTGATTATGTTTTGCTAAATTGTACATCCCCAACCAAATATACCACCAAATCTTAAAAAGCAAACAATCCCTACCCTGCCATTTTTGTAACCCCCATGATATGCAGCAGAATTTGGTATAAACTGAAGCTGGTATAAGCTGAAGAGATGCAAATGCTTATAAACATTTGCATCTCTAACTCACTAAAGATCTCTTTCGTCAAGCCTGCATCAACTGACCCCAATTATAATTCCGCCACCTCTTTCTGTCCGAGCGCAGAGCTGAATGTGATTAGTCATATCTAATGGCGTATCTCCACTGTCATGGACAGTCTGGGGGACTTGAACTCGAATACACATTGGGTGATAAACTACACTGGGAACAGTGATATCAGCTAAACGATGGCACGCATAATGGCTCCATATGGCTCATCTAAATAAAACAACCATAAGCTGTCAGAGCAAAGCGGTGGCTCCATGGAGCGGTGGAAAGGTGGAATCGCCGGAGGACGCCTATGATGTTTAGCCCTCAACGGGGCCCAAGGTCAAAAGCGACCCTGCATCTGGCTAGCCATCTGCTCCCCGCAGCCGGCCGACAGAGCCTGTCACGTTCAGACCATCGTTGTCGGATGTGTCTTGATCTCTAAGGGATATCTGGCTAGACAGGGGGCATGAGTAAAAAGGCCTTGCACAGGTGCGCTATGATGCATGTGTATTTCAAGCTTTTTTTTTTTTTTGTTCCACACTCTTCACATCAAGTCTCATCTGTTTTGTCCTTTCCTAAGTGATCTCCATTGTCAGCTTGTTTCTGTTTTGTTGCATTGGAAAAATCTGCCTTCCTTTCTCCAAATCTGATACTTTTCAATTGTTTGTCGCCTACTTGCAGTGAGACTTGACTTAAACAGATTGTGTGACAGACTGTCAGAAGTTTTTTTTTTTTTTTTTTAAATCATATTTGTATTCTTCTAAAAATCGACAGACGTTGTCCCCAACGTGATGGCCTCGGGTGAATAGTCCAGTCAAAATAATGAAGTCGGATGATATCTCAATTTTCTCTCAAATCAAGTCGTTGTCCTTCAGAGAGGCTCAACTTGACTTCACTGAGCAAATTTCATCAAAAGAGCAGGACATGAGGAGAAAACAGAATAAAGCTGCTTTTCACCAGTTAAGTAAGCTTCTTCCCATTGGTTCTTACCTTGAAGGATGATCCAATCAGACAGCAGGACTGCAGACGAGCAAGGATAAAGGTCTGGATGTTTGAGAAAGCTGTGACATTCCACAACCGACCTAAAAACAGAGACAACAAGGCTCATAAGCGATGAACGCATGCTTTAAGTCACATGCTTTGATGCTCACATTCAACCCTGTGTGGAAAAAAAAAATCATTCTATACCACACTTTTCGCATATAAGTTTAGGTAGAAACAGGTAGAAACACACATGTTAAACAATTTGCGCAAATGTTTACAGGGATTGGTAAAATCTTAAAAATGATTCATGCCTTTATGGATCCAAAATATAGGAAAATAGAAGTATTTAGTTTCACATGACCCTTGAAAAATCATAGTAGCATGACGATTATGTGTTCTGGAAAAAAAAAACAAAGAAAAAAAAAAGAAAAACTTTATTTATGTTGAAAAAGAACTGCATTTATTTAACTTAAAATCTTTTATTAAATAAGGTTTTACTGTCACTGAAAAAAAAAAGTTGTGTCCTTGCTGAATAAAAGAAACTGCTTCTTTGTAAAAGTAAACCACAACAACCAAAAACACAATGTGCTTCTATGCCATTGAATGAACAGTATTGAAAAAATGCCAAATGCAATATTTCTGCAATATATTGTGATACATTGAAGAACTATTAATATACATCTACACAGCTCTAAATATCTTTGCTGGTGAGTTCATCTGCATTAAAAAATTAAAGATTAATCGAATGATCTAGGAAAATCGTTGTAAAAGTTTTAAATAAATAATTTTTTTTTAGTACAAGAAATTACTACTTCAGTTTTTTTTTTCTTCAATATTTTATTTTTAGTTGAAGAGGTTTATTTGTAATTATTTCAATAATTTAAGCAGATTTTTGTAACAAAAAAGGGGGCTTCAGATTATGTTTATCGTATATGAATTGCTTTGTGTGTGTTAAAATATCCTCTTAACAATCGAGTTTGAGTTTTTATAGACCAAATTCCCACTAATTTAACCATTTTAACTAGTAAAATAATAAAATATTTTATTTTACTGTAAAATGAACTAATGTACTAATAATATTAAATATTACAAAGCAATGTTATACTACAAATTTCTCATTTTCGAAAAGGCCGGTGGCAAGCAGAAATATGCACTTCTCATTTCATTTGTTTGTTTCCATTCAAACACACACACCTCATGATTTCAGGTGTGTAGATACCACACTCAAACTTCATGAACATAAATATTTACTAAGTTTATCACAGCATGTGCAATGTGATCCATATTCAAATTTAAATTTTATTTAGCTAAATCCCTTCGAAAGCCTAAAAAATTGGCCTAATTGTTACCATGACACCCACATAAATCACCAAAACCTCACTTCACAGTTTCTGTCTCATCTTAAAAAAACATGTTGTCATCTTTAATCCCCACAGACAAACAAATGGGTCCTTCATTCATAAAACGTCTGTTTGTGTGATCTCCACATACCAGTTAATGAAGCTATAGACTGTCGTCTCAGGACTGTGACACTCAAAACAGCGGGCCAAAGCTAACAGAACGAGCGCTCAGAGAAAACAATGTCTTTGCTGAGATGATGATGAAGGCACTTTCACTTAACATTCATTATGGGCAGATTTCGAACCAAATCTCTACAAATCCACCATCGGAAGCTGCCCAAATCTCAGGGCATCTCAGAGCGCAATCTGCTCTTCCAATCTGCTGTGCGAGAATGAGACACTCGCTCAAGCCAACTCCTCACTGACAGCACCCGAGTCTTCACAAATCCCCCGTCTTACTCCGTCTCAGCTAGGGATGGGTTATATGGGTTTTTAAAAAAAATGTTAATGCTATTTCTCTAGTATTTATTATGAAAAAAATTGACAATTATTAAGTATCCACTTAGAGATTAAAAATACTTTATCCTTTGAGAGAAGTACTGTCTTTTCTATTTTGTTAAACCAAAAATAGGTTGTTTTTGCCAACACACAGGTAATGTATTATTTGTTTCATTCATACTGGAGGCTAGAGGGCGCCCTCATGCATAAATTGCACATACTGTGTGCATCAGAGAAGTAAACACATTCAGTCATCACTATAGCGGAGTAAAGAGAAGATACTTACACAGTGTCCTTACGTGTCACAACAGGATTCCAGTGACGACAAATTTGTTTGTCCACATCAGAAGTGACAAAACAGAATTTTAGAATACTAGAGCCATAAAGAATAGCACTCCCAATGAAAATGTAAAGTTTATAATCTACCTAATGCAAATCAAACCTCTTTAACATTATTAAAAGTATATAAAAGTCTGATATTAGTTGGTTTGCACTTAGTTACAGTTGTAACTTGTCATCACGATAATGAAATTCGGTACTGAAATTTTAAAAACGCCCATTTCCAACTAAAATTTGAGTGCTGTTAAGTGCTGTTGATCCGCTGATGAATCAAGTGATCTTCGCGGCTTTAAAGCGCTCCAGTGTCCGTATGTCTGTGTTTACACTCAGTCAACTGCGATGAGTTCAATGAACTGATGACTTTCATGGCCAAGCTCAGTCATTTCTGTTGATCACGTGAACATAATAGCAAATCAGCAGGTGTTTAAGACCAATCTCAACAGCACTCAAATGTTTGCGGGAAAAGGACAATGTTAAAAATTTCTGTAAGAACACTACTTTTTGTGACAACACTACAATATTGTGACAACACTACTTTTAACATTCATTTTAAAACGAAATGTTTGGTATTTATATATTTCTAAATATATTATATATATTTTTTAGATATTTTTTAAGATCTGAGGTAAACAATCTGCTTTTGCTATCAGTATTGCAACAAATGTCAGGTAAAATGATATTTAAAATCACATTAGTAGCATTTGATACTGACCTAAGCTCATAATCAGCCTCAGAGGTAATCATTGTCATAGTAGTTTATGCAGCTGTTCAGCCATGACATCGCAGAAATAGAAGTGAAGTTTCATAAACTAATTTTGAGAGGAGCACATGATATGATTGAGCATGACTGTCTGCTCATCTATAATCAGTAATAATCCAATCAGAGTGATCCTAGCTTACAATAAATGGACCATTTTCTTCCTACTCCTCTTTCTTCGTTTTGGAAGAATCCCCCCTTCCACCCCATCTCCTCCTTTTGCTCCCTTTTCTAAGGGGGAGCTCTTGAGACCTACCTGATCTTGGATCCCCTTACATGCTTATTGACCGGGCGGGAGGCTTGGGCTCAAGTATTTCCGGGTTCTCTCCTTGGATAGCATGAGAGACCTGACATAACCGCCCAGCATATCTAAGTGGGAACTCTTGAAAAATGGATAATATGTCAATGGAAAATGTTGTGTAGTTAGGATACAGTGTTAAACTGTTCAAACATGAAGACAATAAGCACAATATATGGTTTATCTGTATTCTTCAAATCACCCTGGGTATTTTATAAGTAGAATTTGTAGATTCCAGACTGCAGATTTTATTGTTATTACCGCTGGTGAACTAATTCACACCATTGGGAGCATTTTACTTGTATATTGCAAAACAAAATACAGTATATCACCCATCCATAGACTTCGCTGAATCCTCTTATTCTTTTGGTCAGCCCATTTTTCTATCTATATCTCCCTCTGCGTCATTTTCACTCTACACACTTTATTCTTTGTTTGTCTCTCGCCCCATTTTGCTTCACATAAAGACATGCTGCAGACACAGAGGAAATGCAGCAGACCTCCAACTGCTTGTTCTGCATCACCAGAGAGTTATATGAATTACAAAAAAGAAAAATTGATCTAATAACAGCCATGTTTAATATTGCAAAATGATCTTCAACTTGCAAATCCCCTCCAGGGCAATGTGAATTAGTTATGCTCATGTAGAGCGGCCTCTTAATTTGGCGAATTCTGCAGAACTACCTGAATTTGTTAAATTGCTTTCATATGGCTGAACAGCGTGAGAGTGCGAAAGTGGTAATTGCAAGTGTTCAATACTTTTACGTTTTTTATAAATTGTTTTATGATTTTAAGTGACAATCACCTGGTTATTGCTGGACACAAATCTACATGTACTCTTCAAAGCAAAAGACTAGATTTGGGTGCAATCCAAAGCTTGGTGCGGAAAAGCCAAGATAAAATCTGGCATTTAAAGAGATGGTTCAGTCAGAAATAAAATTTCTGCCATTATTTACTCACTCACTTGTCGTTCCAACCCATATGCTGTTTACGTTTTTCTGAAAAACATTTAAAAAGGGAGATATTTTGGAGAAAAAAAAAACTTCACAAAGGTTTTTATAGTAAACCTGCTTGTTAAAGGGGTGATTAAACATCAATAGTCACAGATCTTTTCTTCAGCATTGGGAAGAACACCCATATTTAACAGTTTATCAAAACAAATGTTGGTGGGACATGGACTTCAATGAGGATTCATCAGATGTTTGGATGCATTTTTTTAATAAAAGATTCAGTCTTGACATTTTGATTAAATATTACAAAGTCAATGAAAATAGAAGCATATGCTGAAATATACAATGTGCATTTAGAAAACAGGCTAGGCAAATTTAAATTTAGTTTTACTTTAAGGTTAAAAAGAATACAAAGTTTTGAAAGTGGTAAGTATAATGTACACTACCTGACAAAAGTCTTGTTGCCTATATCCAAAATTTAAGGAACAACAAATAATGACCTGTCTTCTAGTTGATCATTTAGTATCAGAAGTGGCTTATATGAAAGACAAACGCCTCTAGATTACGCTAATTTTAGCAAAATAAAATATGATCATGCCTTTATTTTTAATGATTTAATAAGGACAGTAAGGGCTGACTTTGCTTAGACAAAAGACTTGTCACAAAAATAATGTACAGCATAGAATATAAAGTCATAGTGCCATGGAAATAGAATTAATATTGTATATGACTGCATCCATACATCTCTGCAATGACTCAAATAACTTTATTAATAAGTCATCTGGAATGGCAAAGAAAGCCTTCTTGCAGGACTCCCAGAGTTCATCAAGATTCTTTAGATTCATTTTCAATGCCTCCTCCATCTTACCCAGACATGCTCAATATTGTTCATGTCTGATGACTGGGCTGGCCAATC